CACACACCACCACACACATGGCCTGCAGCAAATAACATTTCATAGCTACAAGACCTTCAAAGAAAGTCATGGTGTCAAGAAGATAGATAAGACAAGGATAATTGTAAAGTATAAATTATATTATACATGTACATGTAGCAGGGATATTCTCAGAGAGTCAAACTACCGGATGAAATGGCAAACGAAAGTCACAACTTCAGAGAGTAGAGTGGGTGGGTGTGCAGACCAGCGAAGGTCATAACAAATTGATAATAACGTGTAACCAATGCCGGCAATGGATAATGTGTGAGCGACCAAAGAGGCGTACATAGCATTACCTGTACCACCATAAACACACCTTGACCTTGCCCATTGCGTAGCAAAGATACCGCATTGTTATTTCTCCAGTCCACGACAGAATGACTGATGGCGTTTCAGGTCGCCGCTTCGACGGAACATGCGGCCGCAGGCGCAACCGTAGCCAGCAGCAGAGGGTGCCTTGTGTAGTCGACGGGCAATGGCACGCCACTCCGGATGGTTCTGGGCTGCATCGTACCATCCACATGTTGGTACCGGTGGCTCAACCGACGCAAAGTCATGCATAACAACGTCCCTCCACCTCTTGCGTGGATCACGCGCGGGGCGCGGGGCAGGCAGTTCACCGAAGAGAACACACTTCGGCAACCGGTGATCTTCCCTCCGTGCCACGTGTCCAAGCCAGCGCAAACGTCATTCCCGTATGATGTGACCAATGTCCTCAGGCACTCCAAGGGTCTTTGCAAGGGCTGAGGACGTTGCGTGGGTCTGCCATTGCTGCCGTCGCGACACTCCAACGATAGATCTGACCCATTGATGATGGAAAAGGTTGAGGTGTCGTAGGTCCGGAGCCTTCGTTGTCCAGGTCTCCGCGCCGTACAGGAGGGTAGAGAGCACCACAGCAACATACACGCGACGACGACACTGCAAACTCAGTGACCGGTTCTCGGATACAGCTTGCTTCAATTGCAAGGAACTAAATACGGCAAGCAAATCGAGGGACATTAGGTGCAAACCTCGTTGTTCTAGTTGTCTAGACTGCACGGGGTCTTGAAAATACTGAGCCTCCACGTTGTATCTGTGTGGCATGTGGCATCCGTTGATCTCATTTGAGTAGTAGTAGGTATGCACTGCATTATGTTTTGATGAAAGGTTCGATAGCTGATGAATGGGTTTATCATTTGGCTTCCTGTGTGGGTATTGCTTCTGTGGATTGGTTTGGAGCAATGTTCAGATAGTCCAGGC